TGGCTTCTTTATATCCAAAGTGCGCCATTTATAGCTCACTGTGGAATTTAAATACTGCCTTCTCTTTCGTGCCCAACTCTGAAAGTGAAATTTATGTAGTATTGCAGCATATAAATGAAACCATCCTACCATCCTTACCTCACACTTGCTTGAACTATTTTCTTTGGTAATAAAAGGGTAGAATGTGTTGTACCCTGGACATTTAAAGGCCTTTTTATTACAGGTTGCTTTCTATTTTACACACCACATTATAATTTCTTTCAGAGAATTTCTTTAGAATTATAGTTTTGCTCTGACATTGTTTGACGTACGTTTACTTGATCACTTGAGTTTACTTGCTTCCAAATGTGTATGTGTAATAAATAGGTTTTGTGTGTGAGATGCTTCTTCTGGAAATAACATTGGAAAAAATATTTGGGAACTGTGAGAAAATGCAGTTGTACTGTAGGAAATAAAATACTTGGTTTTCTCTTCTGTGAAGGAAATTTATGGAGTTCTGTGAAAAAGGCCAGTTCATTTTGATATTTTGGGGAAAAGATAAGGTTAAAAAATCAAAATTTGTTAGTAGTCAAAAACACCTTGATCATTTGTTAATCATAATTGTTCTCATAAAAGTCTTGTCTAGTCTGTTTTAAGCAACATTTGAGCTGTGAGATTCCCACCTATTGTCATTGTTGGAGCATCTATGTCTTCATGACCTCTGGCTCAAATACAAGCTCTTTTATTAAATAGCTAGCCTCTAAAGCCAGCTGCTGACCTCAGGTCCTGCAGAATTGCCATTTTGCTTTAAAGAGCCTCACTTATGATAATATCAATATATTGAGTAGTGCAGGAGTGGCTTTAACGAGTGGTTCAACATGAAAGATATGTTTTTACTACTTATATAAATTGTGGAAAATACTACAGTTTTCTTTAAAGCTACTACTCTTCTACTGTCTCTGGCTGTTACTCTGTGTTTGTTTATGCTTTTAGAGATGGGTAGGATTTAAAACAGGTAGTGCCACGAGATATTGCAGAGAAAAATACAATATGAGAGCACTTCTATATTGATTTAAGTTTAAAAAATCATTACTTATGGATCCAAAAGGGATTTTTTTCCTTCACTTTAAGATATTTTCATTCTCACAACCATATTGCAGTTGGTCATTAAACTTAAATACTTTGTGATGTTTTTGTAGTTATTGTCGTTTTGGCTAAATCTCAAAACTAAAGATATGATAGGTATTGTTATTGGTATCTGTTTGAATATGTCAAGACTTAGGATATTACTAACAAGTAGCTGTTTTAACAAATCTGGACATCTTATATATCTCTACTAATCCATATACTTTAATTAGTATGTATGATTTTTTTATGTCACTTGTCTAATCAAGCTCTATAAAAATTAACTTATTACTTTTGTGTTCTTCCTGATTACTTCCAGATATGTCTAAATGAGAATGCATTTAGAATTCTGTATGAACAAAATGTGCAAATTTTTTTGTATACTACTTTTTTACATGTTGTTCTTTGAGCGACAAGGAGAAAATGATAAAATTATTCAATCATGGGACTAATTGAGTAGATGAAAACAATTTTGGGATATGTGATTCCAGCATCAAAAGATGTGCTGGATGTTTTAATGCAGTTCCTGACAAATTAGATGACATACTGTCTGAAATGTGTGAAGAGCTATCTAAGAGAGAGGGAGAAAGGTGGTATGAGAACTCTAGTTTGTTCCACAGAATTTCAGGTATTATTCTGAGGAAAAAAAAAAAAAAAAAGTTTAAAATTTGAGAGCCCTCTTTACCTGAGTTTGCAAGGAACCTGAAGCAATGAAAGAACAGTGCATACTACCATTGATTTCATGGAGTTCAATCTCCAATACAACTGATGACAATCAAATTCAGCTCTTCTGTTATTTAGCAATTGATATAAGAACAGAACAGAATGTATCATAATGTGATAGTTTACATCATCTCTCCCTGAAGTGTTTTCCTGAAGAGATAGGCACTCAGCTTTCAGAATTTACTCATTGCAAGATGTGAAAGGAATGAAATCAAGTCCTTTTTATGAGACTGAATTTCATGGAATTTATTGGGCCCAAGACAAGTGATAACAATCAGAACACATGAAAAGAGTGCCTTTGTATTAGTTTATTTAAAGATCAGTAGTGGCCGTATTCAAACTGCCTATTGCAAGGGCCTTACCTCAGCAGTCATGACTAGTGAAGGTCCAATTCAGATATGCCTTGAATTTCTATACAGGCAGCAGTGAGCCTACCAACACCATGAACAACTTAGGCTGTCCAAGTAAGGCTCCTGCTTCTCTCCATCAAAGAGTTTAGGTGCTTCCTTGGTAGCTGCCTTCATGTACAAAGGAAGAAATTGTCTAGAACCAGCTCACAGGGAATAGTAAAGCAATCATATCTGATATATAGCCAAATTCAGAGCTACGTAGTAGGATTCTCTGATTAGCCAGAGTCTCATCAGTGAACCCATCTCTGAAGGTAGGAAGGTGGAGATGGAGGATTTGCGCTATAGCCAAGGTGTTAACTGCTTGATCGCAGACTTGGAGAGCTGTGTTCAGGCTGAGTGACCTGAACCTTCTTATTAGTTGTCTGTACAGTGTGCAGCAATGTGGTCTTGCTCTTGGTGAAGTGTTGATACGCGCTACTCAGTGCAAACAAACTTAGGACCTTAAGACTTGTGGGTAGGTGGAAGAGATCAGAGGGGAAAGGGTTAGATGACCTTAAAGAACTACAGGACATTTCCAGTGTCTGAGCACTAACAGAAGCTATGTAACCTAGCAGATTAGGTTTGATTTACTTTGGAAATATGTAATATCCTGTCACTTTGAAACTGTTTCATTTTTCATGGCTATAAAATGATACAATTTACAACATAGAAAAAAAAGTGCAGATGGGCAGCCCTGACAGACTTTCTTGTATTACCTGCAAGGTCTCTGCATCTTTGTTTTTAAGGTCTATCTCCCTTCTTCTGTATTCCTGCGCTATGGAAGTAGCCTCAATGGAGCTCATAAAAACAGGAAAACAATTCAATGAACAACATGCTTTAGACAGTTTTGCATGTGGGCTTAAAATTATGTAAAACTTGATTTAACCTCAGTTCAGTCACAATACTGAATTGTAGCTGGTATCTAAAAACGAGCCAGTGTGGCACGCAGCCCTTGTCCCATGGATATGGTTGATCATACAAAGATCACCATTCAAAGACATAGTACATCTCTTGTCATTGTGAGTGTTGGGGGATTGTGTTAGGTTTTATTGAGTACATAAGTAGCAATATGGGGTGAAAAAAGGGATAATTATTTTCTTATTTTTTCATAGAATCATTTAGGCTGGAAAACACCTTTAAGATCACCAAGTCCAACTGCAGATGAACTGTATTTCAGAATTTAAATGTGTATTCTGCAATCAACCACAGAGTAGAAGACAAAAACATTTGATGTTTATTTGAATGTCGTTCTTCCTTTTTTTTTTTTTGTCTCAGTCTTGGCCTTCCTCACTTGATCTAATACTTCTCCTGGGCAGTACTATGAACACAAATCACTCTCTTAACTCAGCAGGTCTCCAAAGCATTCCGTTTCTCCATTCCAAAACTCCCAACCTATTCTGTAATCCTTGCAGACTGATGTTCCCAGGTCTCAGGCCTCTCCCTCTTTGGTGTTAGCACATGTCAAGATTCGTTAGTACAGAGAAGCGTTCCATGCAGTACTCTCCCACTAAACACGAATAACTACGCACCAATGTTTCTACTCCTTCCTAATCTGCAGGTAGATTTGGAAAGTCTTGTGCGTTGGTCAGCGAGGAAGAAAAGGAGCGGAGACAAGAAGGAGCATGTGCAGGAATCTATTTCAGCTTGATTTTATTTTAATACAAGATCCAGCATTCTCTGCACTGTGACTTGTTTCTTTGTCACCTTTAATCCATGTGTCAGCATTATACACTCCAGGTAGTTCTTTCAGGTAATCTGTAGCAAACTTCTTGCAATCTCTAACACTGCAAGGTCTGGATCAAAGCCTGTCCTGATCACATAAGTGCAAAGAATTGGAAGCTGATATAAGAACTGATCATAACCTGGCAAACCCGTTTCAGCAAGATTTAGCTTGCAGCCCCTAGCATCACTTATCACCAGTTTTAGTTATTGGAGACTAAGTTTTTCTCTCTCTCTTTCCCAACTAAATGAAATTATCAGATTTTTCCAAAGTAATGAGTCTAACAAGCTGAAGTGTTGTATCAAAGACAAAAGATCACTGTTTCAGTTATAGCTGTATTTAGGAAGAGGCAAAACTGCAGAGTGGTTGTTGTTGTTGGGTGTTTTTTAATGATTCTTTGAATACATTTTTAGTCAGAAGAAAAAAGTTCCCAGTGGTGCTTTGTGATACAAACAGAGCCAGGTTATACAGATAAGAGAATCTATCAACTGCTCTATATTTGCAGCTTAGTTTTATTAGTTGCATATATAGGAAGTCAGCTGTCTGCTTCACACTGGAGCCAAACAATATATTAAGATCTTCCTTCAGGTCTGTTTCCCTTTCCATTATAAAAACAATCTAATCATGCTAGTTTAACACTCACCTTTTAAAAATTGTTTTCCATGCATAGTTCTTCATAATTAGTTGATATAGGAAACCCACTTGGGAAGAACGCTGTTTATAAAATGGCATGCCAGAATGTTTATCTGTCCTTGGGCTGCAGGAACCAGAGGATAGATGAATATCCTGCAGTTGTTTTGGCCATGATTATATTGTGGATGGCAGGTTGCCAGTAGCAACTGCAGTAAAAGGTCCAAAGTGTCAGTGTCTTCCTCTGTGTGATAAAACAGAGAACATTTGCACTTTCCAAACCGTCTCGGAGAGGATTTGTGGCAGATTTTGGATGACTTGAAATGACAAGAGATGGAAGTAGATAAGCTACTTGCAGGTTGTGTGCCAACCTGTCCTTCTGTTGGCTCCTCCAGGCCTGGCACCACTGACGCTTTTTTTGCCCTTCTTTCTAGAACATTTAAAAGAGAAGCTGGAGGAATACATGGTCCGTTTTGCCAAAGTGAGGATTGTACGTACCAAGAAACGAGAAGGGCTCATTCGGACCAGACTGCTAGGAGCCTCGCTGGCTAGAGGAGAAGTCTTGACATTTCTGGATTCCCATTGCGAAGTCAACGTGAATTGGCTGCCTCCCTTGCTTAGTAAGTGTGTGAACGTTCATCAGCCATTTAAATTAGAGCATACAGCGTAGCTTAAGCAGTGAAATCCATGTCCCACAATAAGCAGGACATACACTGTACAGGAGTATTTGGATCTGCACGGCAGCGTCTGAAGAGTCAGAGAGAACTCAGGGAAATGTGAGCAGCTCCGTTTTATGATTCTTGTGACTAAAAACCTGGTAAAATTTTTAAGTATCACTTTGACCTATTAGAGTTACAATTTATTTTACTATTACTACTACTAAATACACTGCTAGATCTAGTATTATGATATGCCCTTACTATACACCTGAAAACGTTTGTTATGCCAGTATTGCACTCCTTCCTAGTCTTCCACATTGCATTAAAACAGCTTTTGCTGTAAGTGTATCCAAGACTTCAGAGTTAAATCCAGTAACAACTGTATTCACAATAGGAAGCTCAGAAAGAATAATTTGCTATTGACTGCTTTGCTGGATTCCAGCTGAAGCCAGCAAAGCTCCATTAGTCAAAGGAATGGAAAGAATCAATTGCTGTAGTCTAGGATTTCACTTCAGGAAACAACGTCTCCTTTTCTACACGCTCGACTACATGCAAAGTGTATGCTCTTTGCAAAGTGAGTGCTTTTTTGTTGGCAAAACCAAAGAAAATAGTTCTGAGTTTAATAGTAAAGACATTTGTGTTAATTAAAAGAGTAAATACATGACCAATTAATGGTTATTGTTTCTTGAATTTTGTTGCTAGGACAGGTTTGGCCACACAATAAGCCGATTATTAATAAAGTATTTGCAGTCTATCTAAGAGATGCTGTTACGCTAATCAACTATTGCTTGAGACAAAAAAAAATGCTAATAAGTAGCTTTACTTCAGATCAGTAACAGGAAAATGTACAAAATTCCAAATTTACATCCTTTCTAGCTTCCATATCAAATTACACATACAGTCTACCCCCTTATTACCACTTTGACCTTAATCACAACATCAACATTTTTATAACTAACCTCCATGTCTTCATGTAAAGCCCAAATGGCATAAAGGAGAAGAGGGAAGTACATGTTTCAACAGGCCTTCCACAAGCATCCCTGTCAAGTAGCTTTTAAACACTCTGGAATATTCTACAGCCACCTTTCCTCTACTTCCTGATTTTGCCCCACTGCGCAAAATGTGTTGCCGCTAATGACAAAATCTCAAAAAGATTCTCACTCTTGACCTCTGAAATCTTTTGCTAAGTTACTGTAGATGACACGCAATCCTTCTATTTTGCTAACTTAAACATTGGGAAAACTGCAAGTTATGATATTAATTCATTTTCTTGCTTTCTTGTCTGAAACAAATAGAATGGTTACAGAGGATTCATAATTGCAGTTAGGTTGCAGTTGAATATCGAAGTGATGATCTCAACCCTCAGCCTCAAGTCAGAAAACTGGAATGATGAGAGAAGCTTCATCAGAGACCAAGTCCCAGTTTCTCCCCAGTTCTCAAGTGGAATGAGATCTTTCTTGTTCTACATGTAGTAGAAATACCCTTAGCTAACCAGACAGAGAATCTGGAAATTAATCATGAGGAACACTGAAGCCCAGGATCAATAGGCTTCGTTTTGAAAGAAAAAGTAGAGCATTACATGAGAAAGGACAAATAGAGAATGAACACACAGCTAGTGTATTTAAGATGCCCTGTGTCCTGTTTTCCAAAGGGGATGAGAGAACCTTCTCATAACCATTAGGTGGCAAATACTTACTATACTGAAATCAAATGACACCTGGCTACTTATAACAGTAGAGCAAATACGTTTTTGCAAGAATTTATATAAAGATCAGTCTTGTGATTCACTCAGCACTGCATGTGACTGAATGTCATTCAAGGAAACAAAACCAGAAGCTGTATTGGGTATTTATTGCGCTGAAGCTGTCCTATTTTAGCTCTGATTGTATTTAGGGAAAAGTCCTCAACAAAAGCCCAGTTCCACCCTGCTCTGGAGTAAAGGCTGCCAGTCTTTGCTGAGAGGGGCAGTCGTCTCCACTGTGCCAAACCATTATTTTTTTTAAATAAGACCTTGCAAGTTAGAGGACGGCGAGTAGGAAAAGAGTGATCGATTAAAGATGGTTCTCAAAGTTATTTAGGCATCTAACACATTTTCAGAAGTGACTATTGCTTTTTAGACCAAAGGAAGACTGAGTTATTTCAGTACTTGTTAGGTATCTAAATTCCTTTGTGGAGCTCTGCCATAGTTGTTTTCAGTTACAGTTCTTTCTTTTGTTTTCCTAAGAAACAGATGCAAAATGTTTTTTCTTTATTTTCTTTAAGCTTTATTTAGTTTATTTCTTTAGCTTAAATGGGTTTCTAAACTAAGATAAGCCACCTTGAGATCTCAGAGAGTAGTTTTGCCTCATGTTCTCTGAACAGGCAGCTGTAGTCATGTAAAAATGTTGGCAAACACAGCTGTTTGTTATCACTCCTCAGTAGTATAAAGTCAGCAGAAGGAAAGATGTGACTTGGGCTCCAGCTGTTCTAGTTGAGAGCTTAGTGTAGTGTGAAGTTGCAGTTGTTGCAGGTTTAAGGTAAGAAACTGAGCAGCAACCCTGTTGTTTGAAAGATGTAGGCACATCTTTCCTTCTGTTAATGTTACTGCGGAAGCAGTAAGAGAGGGGGGATGGACAATAGATCAGTAGTGCTATAGGCTATCAGAGCTAGGTTTGTCAAAATAGGGTTTTTTCCTGACCAAGACTTAAAATTACATCATGATTAGATCATGCTTAGCAAGTTGTCAAGACACCTGCTCGCTATAGCTGTCCATCTCCACAACATTTATGTGACGCGTTACTTGCCAGTGGGGAAGACTGAGAACACAAGTACTCTATGACAACGCGGATAACAAGAGATGACTTGCTGAGCCAGTCAAATGTTGTCACCATCCGTAATCACATATGTTAGTAGGAAAATAACAGTATTTGCAATGTGGCATTTTTACTTTAACCAGGCCAATTTGAAACAAGCACTTGCAATTAAAGGGGTGCATCTTTCTTATAAATATAAAACCTACATTTTGAGAGAGTGGCTTATCCAGTATTGGAAACTTCTGTTTATTGCCACAGATGCACACTCTGCTTGATACTAAAAGTGCTGAATTCAAATATGTATGTATATATTGCTTTAAATTACTAGGGAGAAAGCTGTAAGCAATGTTCTGTCTTGTTCCCAGGCTTTCTTTCAAATCTGCAAGATTTTTACACATGCAATGATGCTTATCTGTCTGTTCTTCCCTTTATCTGCAGCATGTATGCATTGAAATAATGCATGGATGTTTTTAGACCAGTAGGAATTTGTGCAGGGATGATGAGTAAAGGCAATGGAAAAGAAACTGTACAGCATTTCAGCTGTGGCTTTCAGTGTCTTGCGTTAGGAGGAGGTGGGACAAAGGGCAGCAGCTGGCAAAAGCAGCAATGTGTTCACGTGTCTAAAGCTCTGATATTAGCACTCTCGTGAAATGTAAACTAGCCCTACAGCCCTTTTTTCTATTTCCTAAATTCATATTGGGGCTACATTTAAGCCTAAAAAGTATGTATGCAAAATTCATTATTTTAGGCATACTGAAAGAAACATTGAGGCTACAAGTTTGATTACTCTGCCTTTTGGTGTGCACAACTACAAACACTCTGGTTTCTTCGAAAGTCAAAGTCTTCCTGTAGTGGTTAATCATCTCTAAAACATTTTGAGGTCTGAGAAGTATGTTCTGCAGATACGCACAAGAACAGGCAGGTAAGCATCATCTTACTTGCAAAATTCCTGCCGAGTTGTACAAATGAAGACTGGGATTGAGTTTGAGCATCGCTCAAATAATTTCTCCCTGGCTCTCTCTGCATGTGACTTGGAGACTTCCAATCCTTCAGTCTATTTCAAGGCAACGGCTTTTAAAGATCTAGAGAAGGATGCTAATGTATTATGAGTCTACCTTTGACCTGCTCCTGCCAAATCAATCCCATTTAGTTTCTCTCTTCCAATCAATTTAGAAGGGGGGATCAAAGACAGATTATTATAAACCCTGTAACTATTAGCAGGACCATCACAGGAAAGAGATTATGTAAAAATGACTTCACATAATGATTACAGATAACACTACAAAGTACAACAATGAATGCAATTATATTTGGCAATAGCAACAGTAGTGCAGCCATTATGTCTGAGATTAATTTCCTAGCATTTTGTGAGAGCCTGTTTTTTAAATTTGTTTCACTTTTAAAGGATAAGGATGTAAAAAAATGTAAAAAACTGCCGAACTTCCAGGCACAGTAATTTCTTACTAGCAGTCAGCATTGTTCCCCCATTTGGACAGTCTCTAAACAACAACTGAGAATAAATATAGAAACTACAGATGTTTCACTAACATAATCTTTTCTCTTAATTTCAGTCCTTTGGCAGCAAGGAAGCAGAATCTGTGTTATTAATCCTTACAGCAGTGTTACCTGCCTTCCTATCTAAGTGTTCATTCCACATCCAGCCCTCTGATTTTTTTAGGATATTATCAAGCATTAGTGAAATCTAATCCTTAAAAACAAAGAACAAGTTTTCCACATAGGCCCTACGATGTATTACATTTTATAAAGAATCTAAGCCACCATTTGGTGAAAAAGCTTTATTATTCTTGGAGTTTTGAGATTTTGGTTTTTTTTCAACAGTTCGTAGTTTTTCTACTGTCCTTTCATGCCAACACAGCTACAAATTTTCCCTGTACTTTCTTGTTTTAAACCATTATTCTTCTGCTTAATTCCTGCAGCTGGAGTATCTTCTTTACTTTTGTTTCTTTTCTGAGGAGCTCTATGGGATTAAGCGATAGTATTCACCAAGCAGACTCAGTCCCACCCTGCTCTTATACTAGAGACAGGAATATCATTTAGCTTTACAGTTCTTATTTTTTTAAAAAAAAAAGCAAAAAGAAACTCCTTTCTTTAGAAAACAGGTGAGTAAGAATAATACTCTAGGACCTTCTTTATATTTCAAAGATTGGTACAAAAAAAGGACACAAGCCCTGTTCTGTTCTGTTCCTCGTGTTGGAGTTTGCCTTTAATTTGTAGCATTTGATCTCAAAGCTGGTGCACACTAGAGCCACAGGAACAGCGACTGAATGGTTGCAAGGGCTGAGATTCACATTTGGGAACACAAATCTTTCTCGCAGGAGCTTGCTATACACACTCCCCACAGCTGAAGGAGTATTTTTACATTTTGCTTGCTGGCTTGTTCTGTAGTTGACAGATTGGGGACGGCTCAGAGTAGCAAAGTGACAGAGATATAGATGACTGGACTCCTGTGGGTCTCACAGGGATATGCTTCCCTTTAAAGAACTGTAAATGCTTCTAATCATTGCCCAACTGCATTAAGTCCACTTTAGATAAAGGTTTGATACAGATTTGAAAAATGAAATTATTTGGGGGCCATAGGGAACAAAGCAAGCAATCTTCAAACACCAGAAAACCTGTGGGATTCACTTTGCAGTAATATGATAGATGACTTGACTAGACGTGCCGTTTCCTATTTTCTACTTTCATTTTTCAGACCAGATTGCACTAAACCACAAAACCATCGTGTGTCCTATGATCGATGTCATTGACCACAATCACTTTGGCTACGAGGCACAGGCGGGGGATGCCATGCGAGGAGCTTTTGACTGGGAAATGTACTACAAAAGAATTCCGATTCCTCCAGAGCTCCAGAGAGCTGATCCCAGCGACCCCTTTGAGTAAGTAGCGATAAAGAGGAGAGTGCAAACATGAAGCAGAATGAGCAAATAAGGTAACTGTAGCAGAAGAATCCCAAGCCCGGAGATTTCCATGTAGGCCACTTCATGCTAATGAAAAGTAGCAGAAGCAAACAGTTTCTATACAGGTTTAGAAAACCTCAAAACTAGGAAAAAGATCAGGGCAACAAGTTGCAGAATTCACAAGCTGTGCCTGGAAACACAAACCTTCCTCATCTTTAATGGCCCAGTGGTTGTGCATAAAAGAAACAGGCATATACTTGTAGTTAAGGGAAAGTATTGGCATCGGACAAGGAGTGAATGTGACTACAGTTATTCTGTTTATTCCACACAGCACTTCCTGAACAGACTTTAGTTTAATGTTTTCTTTGCTGGAGATTGATGCAACACATGCATCAATATCTGAGTTCACATTCTTCCAGCAGATGCTTTGTTTATGACTGCTGATATTGCTACTGTATATGTATTGCTGTATCTTAAACACAGGGCTGTGAAACCTGAACAGTGTCAAGTTGATTTGTAAATAATTTTTGATAAACCAGCCTCTGATCCTAGCTTTATGTAGGTCAGCTCATTCACAGGAATGACCATCTATTCTTCATAAAGGTAGATCCTTTTTTCATTTCTTTTAATTGTTCTTATGTAAGGATCAGCTGGGATTAATCCTCAGCAGCAGAGAGAGGACAGGCAGACAGACATGGTGGCAAAGTCTCCAGGTCTCTTGCACAGCATACGTCCCTGCAGGGCTGACAGCGAGACTGGCTTTGATGCTGTCGGTAGCCCTGGCTGAAAAGCCATGCTGCAGATTTTGGCAGTTTAAAAACTCAGCATTTTCCCATCCCTGAAACAAAAGCTGGAAACAATAGCAACAGAAAAGCTGTGTCTCTGGCCCAGACTCTGCACTATTTTGAAATAATGGATCTGATTCATGCAGAAATTGACCCTTATGTACAGGGAATGACCCGCTCTGTACAGGGACAAGTAGGTAATTGCAGCATTCGGTGGGCTTATTTTCATTATTCTGCTTGTTCCTTTATACTTATCTCCATCTAGGCCCATCAGTCTTCATCTTGCATTGGTGTAAGTGCTGGTGAAGTACTTTCCATCAGCTGCCAATGTGACCACTCCACAACATAGATGCAGCTAGTGCAATCACCTAACAATCCAGAGTTGCTAGAGCCTCCACTGCTCTTCCACAAGTCTTTCTGGCCCTCTGAGCAGTTGTACTTTGTTGCCACTTACTGAAAGTCAGCTAGCACATTGTGTAATTTGGTATATGAGTAAAACTTAGTATATTGCCAGTGTAGCTACGGGTTGTTTATCAGCTGTTGTACATACTTGAGGCCTGAAGAGGAGGTACATGTAGGAAACTTTCTAGAACAGACAAGACTTTGTGCGGTACAGAACAGATGTGGCAGTTTTGCATGAACTGTTGTTACGATCAGCATGGCAGCAGTTGATACCCACCTTGCCCTGCCTGAATTAGTAAGGCACACAGATAAATGGCTTGACAACGAACAACATCTAGGACAATGTGACCTATAAATCTCTTGTCATTTGAGTTGTTGTCTCCCCAGAAGGGTGGAAGGGCTTCCCAGTTCTTACACAAATCGGTGGAGTCTTCCTTTGTTTCCCCATCACAGGATCTGCATCAGAGCCATGCAGGTGGAAAAGCAGCGCTGTGCATGGGACCCCATGTCCGCCCCCATACATGGCAGTAGGATTGAAGGCTGGCTGAGCTAGGACAGTATCTTTGCTCAAAAGCACTCTCTGCCTAGAACGGAAAGGGTATAGAAGTATTTTATGTAATCAGTATGAATTTGCTTGGGTAAGGAATTATTTCCTAATTCAAAGTCAGTACTTTTCTCCTAGGACCTTCTCTGTTGACACTTCGAGCTTTTAATACCTTGTGTATAAGTACAGTAAAATAATAATAGTAAGTATGGTAAAAGTTACAAACCATTTTAGATACCAGTAATTAACAGACCAAGACAGCTTCTATAGAATTCAAGAGACAGAACAGTTTTCCTTTAGGTGCATATACACTAAAACTAGAAATGGCATCAGCCAGTACCATAATTATCATGTTACTATTTTGTAAGCAGTAGGGATTTTTTTTTATTATTTAGGTTAAATATTTTGCAATTGGTATCCTAATAGTTTTACTTCCTGCCAACAGCATCAGGTCTGAGCTGATCCTTAATGATCTAGAAAATTGCCAGCATTTTTAGTAAAACACGAGCAAATAATGGGTATGTGATCCAAAAATTGCGCTGATGAGTTTTTTCCTCTCACTTAAAATGCCAGCTCAGTATGTGTGTTAAGCAGAAAAGGTCACATCAGCCTAAGAAATAATGTACATAAAGCCAGATCAAACTACAGAAAACCTAAGAGTGGTCATTATATTATCTGAATGATACATTCACTTTTCCATCTGCACGTGATCAAAATACTGCTGCCGCAGATATCGGCAGAGTGTTTTCTGTTGATGCAGCTAGCTGAAGTGTTGTCAAGTAGGCTTTTGGTGTGACAGTAGCACAGAGGTTACTGAACTCCAGTGCCAGCTGAGCTAGCGTTTCTGGAATTAATTCTGCCCCCCTCCCTTTGTTTTTTTGCCTTTTGCTTTGTTTAAACTGTACTCTGCAGTGGTCAGTGTTTCACAGGCGCTCTCCTATTGGACCCTGTCTATCTGGACTCAGTCTTTCAGTTGAAAATCCCTCTTGTGAAGAATCTGGACATTCTCATTCATTTGCTGTGTGAGCGTGGGCATGGTTTATTGTCCATACACCTGCAGTGCCACTCAGGCAGCATCTCCACCCTTTGCTATGGCAGAGCTTGGAGCTTCCTTCCATACCCCAGCTTCTCCTGATGTACAAACCCATTCTCAGACCCTCTGCAGTTGTTCACCACGAATAACTTTACACCAAGATTTGACTTGAAGTTTATGACTTTAGGGCTGAGTGTCTAACACTCAGAAGCTTCCAGCCAGCCCAGTGTCAAATTCAGGTACAGATGATGTACTAGCACCAACCTGGGAGTCATAAGACAAATTTATAACTGCATTTGGATCAGGCTGCATTCATCTACAAAATTTATCATTTTGGTTTACGTGTAGTTTGTCACTGGCCACGCTAAGTTTCACATAGGTTTCACTGAACAAAACTATAGCCATATAAATTGTATTTTCAATCAAAGTTCCTATGTGAATTATTGGATATTGCTCTGTGCTCATTGCAGTGTTTTGGAAAGTTTAACAACTATTCCATAAATGGATTTCATGTAGCCTTTAAGATTAGCTATTTTTCTGAAAGAACTGTGTTGCTGTTTTTCAGGATACATTGAAGCCTTAGAGGCATGGAAATTTGACTTCACCCCTAATAATGCCTTCCCATCCAGAGACTAAATCTGTGAACTCCTTGTTGATTTCCCTTTTTCATGTGCCACAGAAAGAACCAAAGTTTTATATCCCATCCAACTGATCTGTCACACTTGCAGCTCATCATAGTTGGCTATAGTGATTTTTCTCTTGCGATTCGTGTACGACTACCCCAACATACTCTGAAGGGGGTTTCATGCTATTTTCCTCTGATGCATTCAGGGTTGTGTAAACGTCACAGAGCAAATTGGTGTTCTGATGTGTTATGGGAAATTGTCAGACAATTGTGAAATCGTGTCATGATGATGCTCACTGTCTTGATCCCAGAGTCAATGATCATTCAACACAGTTTGAGATGACTTGAGAATTTTTTTTGTGTTCTATAAGCAGAGAGGACCATAGATGTTTGTCTCCTTTGTGACAAGGATCATCTTGGCTTATTATCTCTTGCTGGTGTGTTTCTCTGTCATGGCAGAGGTTTGGGAGCATGCCCTTATGGGATATACCTATTTGTGACACAAAAGCATGCTCTTGTGTGGCTTTTTCTTTCTGTGGTGTGAGTGCTCTAGTCTCTGGGGGAGTTTGTGTAACCCAAGCGATTGCCACTTAAACTAATAGGGTAACCTTGTTACTGTAATGGACTGTGATATACAGCATGTCAGTTTATATGATTTAATAGCCTGTCTGGGCTAAAAGCTCCGTGGAAGTTTAAAGCAGAGGTTTGATAAGCTTAAGCCTGCTGGGGATGACTGCTCTTTATTTCCTGGCAGCACTTACATTACATCAATTCATGTTATCACATGCCCAATCTGGAAACAGGCATCAGTGTCCATTCATGCCAGCAGAAACATATTTTTAGCCAGACAAGACAACATCAACAATTCAACTCAAAAAAGTATTTGAAAAAAACTCAAATTAATCGAGAGGATTCATATAGCACAGAACAATTAAGGTAGGAAAGGGCTGCACAGCTCCTCAGAGCAGTTTTATGGGGGTGTAACTTTATGATACAGGAGGGAGGGAAAAGTGCATGTGAAACTTAACAGCATTACTATTGAATTGTAACTCAAGATTGAAATCCTAATCCATCAGAGAAGTGTTGTGCTATTTATGAGATGCCAAGACTTCTAGCACCTATCTGGGAAAGTTACTAGTTTTTTGGTATATGACCACTCCTTACTCTTCAGGAGTTCCTTTGTATAACAGACTGTTTGCCTTCTGATATAGACCTGTCATCTCCAGACCTCCCTGAAGGGGAGACAAAGCTGAAGAATCATGTAATTCTAGCAAAAGACCAGAACAATAGTTTGGCAAATACTGTGCTAGCCAAAGAAGTAGAAACAACTTTGTAACCTCTGATGAGGCATTTTAGTTCCTGTACTCAGTTTTCTATTTATAAAATAGGAATAGAATCACTCCACCATTGCAAGGCTACTTTGAGTATGAGTCTGGCAAAGGTTATAGGATTGAGGTCTCGCAGTAATAGAAGCCACTTATGGTTTATGGATGTACCTTTTTTGTAAAATTTTGGACATACTCAAGGAATGAAATTAGGCGATCAGTACGTTTTTCTCTTCCCTTGTATCACAGACTCTCAACCTTGGAT